TGGGGCCCCTGTCCCTCCGTTTTCCCTCCCACTTTCTTCTCTGGCTTCCTCGGGTTCCCAGGTGTCTACCTGCTCACTGCTCCCCCGCAGCATGCCCCTCCCTGTCCCCCGAGCCCTTCAGCTCCCACTCAGGGGTGAAGCTCCCGGGAGCCAGTCACACCACAGACCTCTGGCCTCCCAGGCAACGTGCCAGCTCCCCGGGTGGACTGAGAGACGGTGTCTGAGAAGATTCTAGATGCAGGGGCTGTCCCTGAGCACCACCCCCTGCCTCAGGTTAGGGAGGACCTCGCAGAGGGCGGGAGGTTTGGAGCCCGCCATCACCCCGTCCTCCACAGCCCTCACTCGGCAGGTGTCTGTGCCCCTGCCCGGCTCTCCGTACCTAGGAGCCCAGATTTCCTGGTCTATACGATGGGATAAGCTTGAAATTGTTGTGGATCACGTGTGACAATGCGGCCTCTTGTCCCTGGCCCCGTGTGCTGCCCCAATTGGGCGCCAGTGGCGCTTGGTCAGGGTTTGAGGAACCGGCTCATGGCTAGTGGCGTGAGCTAAGGTCACCAGCCTTTATCATCCTAACCGCTCCTGGGGCCGCCTGGACCCAGAGGGGCTGGAAGAGAAGGGAACACTGAGGCTGCTACCCCTTGGGGGAGAGCCGGCGTGGTCTCTGGCTGCTTGGGCTTGAGGTGTCTCTCGATCCAGGTGTCTCTTGCTGTGAGGACTCTCATTCTCGCGACAGTCGCCTGTTCCAGCCTCTCGCTGTAGGGCCTGGCCTCTCTTCTTAGGGCCCAGGGCTGGTTGGAACCCTAATATCCCAGTCTTGGGAAGGACTTGGGACTCTTTGTCACAGAGGAGGAGAGGAAGCGGGTTTATCACAGGGGGGGTCTCTAGGAAAAGGGGAAGTTCCAGGTTCCCTGCCTCACCCAGAAGGAGGGTAGAGCTGAGCAGAGAACAGGAGAGGAGAGAAGGAATCTGAGGGGAAAGGAAGCAGGATGGAGCCAGAGGAGCCCTGAGGAAGCCACATGGAGCAGAGGGAGACATGTGAAGAAACTGTGTTTATTTCTTGGCCCTGGACTGGTTGAAAGCGATGTGGGTGAGAGACCCGTGGGGAGGTGACTGTGGCAGCGTTTACCCTGATTTTGATTTTGTTCGTTTCCTCCCAGACCTGCCTGGCTGTTTCTGACCCCTTTCTACGGGTGCCGGCCAGAAGGTGCTTTAGTCTTGTGGCAGCCTTCAGGCCTTGCTTTGGGCCAATCCCTTTTGGGTTGATTTTTGCCCACGAGGGGACGGGTCACTTCAGGTGTTTGATTTAGAAGTTATATTCTTTGTCTTCTGTGTTGTGTACTCACTGTATTAAAGTTCCTTCTCATTAAAGTCTTATATGTTTTGTCTTGATGCGGCAGATGGCAGAATCTATTTAGACCAGGCAGGTTTGGGGGTTCAGGGGTGCCTCTCCCTGCCCTGGAACAGGTTCTGGTAGGAGGCCCCGCTGGGTCTCTGAGAGAGTGTTCTTTGTGACCAGACACCCCCGGGTGTCTTTACTCACAGTAAAGGATTTCGTAGTCTCCGGAATTTGACACGAGGAATTCTGAGTTTACAGACCAGTCCAGGTGAGTGATGAAGCTGGAATGGCCCTGTGGGGGGACACATGGCAGCGTGTCACTTGCCTCGCAAACTCCGACCTGCGGGTACTCGGCGCTGGCGCGAGACGGCCCTTACCGAGCACCTGCCGACCCGGGTATACTTCCTGCCGCTGTCACTGACCGCATAGATGTAGATGCAGTTGTCGTGGGAGCCGATTGCCAGGAAATTCCCATCTATGAAAACACGACAGACAGTATTTCCATTATTAAAAAAAAAAAAGTTTTACAATTGCAAGTATTAACACAAGTTGCCATCATCAATTTAGGATTAGGAACAGATAATCTCAAAGAGAAAAGTTGGCTTCAGAGTGAGGCCTAGCTGACGCCCAAAGTTAGCTTTTGAAAAGACACACCGCTGAAGGGCAGTTTCGCTGGAAACAGGAGTCTCGGCTGACATTTTCTCTTCTTCTAGCACTCTGAGTATCCCAACTTACTGTCTTGTGGCCTCAAAGATTTCTGGAAACTGGAAATCTTTCCTATTGTGGATCCTTTGTCAGTGACGATTTGCTTCTCTCTTGCTGCTTTCAAGATTCTCTTTTGTTTCTGTCTTTTACCAGCTTATTACAATATGTCTGGAACTCTCTGAGCCTCTGAACCTTCTTCTACCACCAAAAGCAAGAAGTAGATTAGCAACTGACACAAGACCTCCCGATGTGCCATCTAGGCAAGAGGTTCAGTCAACAGCTTGACTTTATGATGCTGCTGCTCGGCCGAGGCCCCTACACGAGCTTAGCAGCCGCCTCAACGAGGACCTCAAAGCAGCCATTTATCCTGACGCTCAGGTCCACTCAGTCGGGCCACGGCGGTGGGCCCATGTGCCCTGATGTCATTAAGCGCAAAGGCAGCATCTGCCCGGTCAGGGGCTGGCACTGTGTTTCACCGGCCCGCCCAACACTCTGGAGGGTCAGCATCGCCCACAAAGCTCAGCGACCACCAGCCTCTCCTCTGGCAGCTAGCACAATGTCCAGAACTTTCC